CTACATGCCCTAGTAAAAAGTCCTTCCCCAGCTCTCCTGTAGGCCTCCTTTATGTACTGGAAGGCCGCTATACGGTCTCCCCGGAGCCTTCTCTTCTCCAGGCTGAACAGCCCCAACTCTCTCAGCCTCTCCTCATAGGAAAGGTGCTCCAGCCCTCGGATCATTATATCCAGTCTAAACCTCCCCTGGTGCAACTTGAGGCCATTTGCTCTTGTCCTATCACTTGTTACTTGGGAGAAGAGACCGTCCCCCACCTCAAACCTCCTTGTCCACAACAGACCCACTGGTGAGGGTCTCTGCCCATCCTGGCTCCCAGCTCCCAGCTCCTCACCCCTTGCAGAACAGGCAGCTCTCTGCTGCTCCTGCAGCTGCTACCAAAGAAAGAGGACTCGCTTCACTAACAGCAACATTGTTTAGTTCAGAGTTGGGTGTTCTGCCTCCCCTCCCCTGAAAAACTACAACTCCAGACAATCCACTGAAATGTGCCCTGGTGGCCAAGAAGGCGAATGGCATCCTGGGGTGCATCAAGAAGAGTGTGGCCAGCAGGGTGAGGGAGGTCATCCTCCCCCTCTACTCTGCCCTGGTGAGGCCGCATCTGGAGTATTGTGTTCAGTTCTGGGCTCCCCAGTTCAAGAAGGACAGGGATCTGCTGGAGAGAGTCCAGCAAAGGGCTACAAAGACGATAAGGGGACTGCAGCATCTTTCTTATGAGGAAAGGCTGAGGGACTTGGGCCTTTTTAGTCTGAGAAGAGAAGACTGAGGGGGGATCTTATGAATACTTAAAGGGAGGGTGCCAGGGGGATGGGAACAGTCTTTTTTCAGTGGTGCCCAGTGATAGAACAAGAGGTAACGGGCACAAACTTGAGCATAGAAGTTCCATCTAAACATGAGGAGGAACTTCTTTACTCTGAGGGTGGCAGAGCACTGGAACAGGCTGCCCAGAGAGGCTGTGGAGTTTCTGGCTCTGGAGCCATTCAAAACCCGCCTGGACGCCATCCTGTGCAACCTGCTGTAGGTGACCCTGCTCTGGTGGGGGGGTTGGACTAGATGATCTCCAGAGGTCCCTTCCAACCCTGACCATTCTGTGATTCTGTGAACCGAAATAGTCAAGAGAGGTAACTTAGCCCTCCATGCAGGGCAAAGTCCAAAACAATTAAAAAGGGAATATTAAATGTGATTAACTTAGGAATGTCAAATGAAAAATGGAAACACTTCCATGGCTGAATAGACTCAGTGTTGTTTCCTTAATTTATAACAGTATCCTAGAATACAAACATTAAAGTTGATTGTGTATTGAAACTGTTCAAGTTCCTTATTTGAAGATCAAATACCTCAGAAGAAAACACTTGTAAATATGTTACATAGGGTAGAAATGTATTCAATGGTTATTTGAGGCATACTTCCAAAGACTTATGATCTCTCCATAGCTACACTGTTAGGTAACAGGTTTATTGCTCTATTCATTAGTCATTACCGTATTACAAGAACAAAAAAATCGAGAAAGTAATTTAGAGGCCTAAAAGAAAGAGTGAAATGAAATAAAATAGCTGTCTTGTACAACTATGCTCCATGCTGTCAAACTGTTGACATTTTCACCAAGAGAGAAACTTTACAGGTGAATATGATCATTTATTACATTTTGCTTAGGCAAAAAAAGATAATCTAGAGCTGCAAACTATATTCAAGCATCTCTCACAATAATATGAACTGAAAGGGGGGAGACTCGTGAAATTTTAGCATGATTTCATAAATCAAATTAAATCCCATCTTTAGAGAAAAAAATTCTTAACAAGTTAGAAAAAAGTTTAACCATACAGTAAAAAAAAAAAAAGTCTTAACCACTAGGGCTGAGACAGCTGCTAAGACTTTATGTATTCTGTTTGCTAGTGGCAATACTTGCTCTGCAACTGCTGATCCAGCAAAAATTCTGCATGGAGTTTCTTCACCTCCTTTGGTAAAACCTTCTCTTGAGTAGGTTGGAAAGAAATCCTCCAAGTACACCAGATTACATACAGGAATCAACAGCATAAAAAAAAAATAAGAATACAAGTTAGCTTAGTTTGGCCAAGAAATGTGGTAGACGGGATTTATCTGGAATTTAATGAAGTGTTTGATTCCATGCTAAATGGAAATTATTAGATGAACTATAGAAGCTGGAAACTAATTCAAGAACTGCGAGCTAGGCACATGGGCTGGCAAACCACAGAAAGACAAAACACTCAGGATGAAATGTTTTCCCACAGCAGAGGTGGGTTATTAGCTGGCTTTAGGTTGACTTTACACACTACTTCCATGAATGACTGAGGCAGGAGTCAGCTAGTGGTATCTGGAGTAATTAAAACAGGATAAAATGCAACAGTGCAAAATGCAAGTACCACACTCAGTACACTTGCTACACGAGTAGCAAGAGTGCTCTTAACTGAAGACTTGAATGGAAACGACCGGTTGTTTTTTAAGTCAGTCATGGAAAAACCACCATCCACTCTAGGACTTGAAAGTCAGTCATTGTCTTCCAATGTGTCAGACCAGATATGTCCCAGATACCCAGGGGAAACCTACACCTGAGCACCACGCCCTCCTCACACCTGCCCTGGGACACCCAAAAAGCTGCTTGCCCCTCCTCAGGAAAGATGCTTTCAACCTGGAAGGAGGGCAGAGACCAGGACAAAGAGGGAGGGAAGACCAAGCAAGCTTTTTCTCCCCAAGACCACATTATATGGGAGACAGCTGAAACCAGGCAAGAAGGAGGGTGGGTTTGAACTGATGGACACTTCTGGCACAGGAACATTGGATATATGTCCTATACACTAAAGCAGATGAGCCTGGGACATTAACTGCAGAGAAGAACAGGCAGGCACCCAACTTGTGGTCCTGGCTTTCTCCTGTGGCATCTAGAGGTGGAACGAACGAAAAATTCTTGACCAATCAAGAATCATGGTTGATCACTACACTTCCGCTACACTGTCACTACATGTACAAGATTGGTTTTCTTGAAAACTTAGCCATAACCGCTGAAAAAATAGTGCTTCCCTAAAAGGGGCCTGTGAGGTGTGACAGATCAGTGGTAAATGTTACCTGACACTACGGCTGAGCAGGGTGACAGGCACCAGCTTTTTTTAAAAATCTAGTGCTTTGGGGCAATGTTTCAAAGTTTTTGAAGTTTACAAGCAGCTCTATTTGAGAGGGAAAGTGAAAGCAGTTGTGAGGGACTTCTTTTTTTTCCCCACAGGGTAAGTCTGTGACCCTCAGGTGGCAAACGTTGGCAAGTCCTGTATCAAACACATTTAAAATATGAAGTGACTTTTTTAAGGTGGGTAATTTCCCTTTTAAAAAATTATTTAGCTCCTTTTAAGAAGAGGAATGAAGCTTTTGTGTCTGAGGTGCTTCTATGTATATCCTTGAGCCATAAGGCAGATAAGAAAACAAGTTACTGCTGCCACTGAACTCTTCACTATTTTATTTCTTGATGATGGGTTTTTAGCTTTGTGCTATTGAGATTTTTTTGTGTATTGTTCTATGATGTACCATGGTTCAAACAAAACCCATGAAGGACTTCCAAATGCCAGCAGAATGGAAGTCTCATAGAACTTCATGCTTGAAAAATAAATGTAAATTTGTGCTTTCTCTGGAGAAAAGTTTACTGTCAGAATCTTTCTCAGCAGGCAGGAAAGAGTGTTCAATACAAATTAAAGGATATTAATTATGTCACTTTTCAAAACATCTTTTAGCATTACTGTAAGGCTGTTTGATAGCTTTCTAGGGTGTTGTGCTGTTTCAGCACCAACAGAGATTTTTCTTTCCAGAAGCATAACAGTGCAATAATTTTTTTTTTTTTTTTTTACCTCGCTGGTGTCAGCATCAGTGAACACTGGGGAAGACGCCCGTGTCCAGACTCATCCCTCCTCCTTACCTCTGTGCTGGTGATGGCGAAGCGGTGGAAGTCTTTGCTGGGGGGAGGAGATTGGCAGTGGAGCTCGTGAAGGGTCTCCTGCAGAAGGGACACCATGGTGCTTGTTCCTCCGAACCTGCAAGCAGCAAAACTAACCCCTGCCTGCCAGGACTGCTGCTATGGACCCGGTGCCTCAGCTCAGCCTGTTCCCCAATCTTGTCACAGTGACGGCGTCCACGTGTCTGTGCCAGCCTGCTCAACAGGAAGGATTAACTGCCAAAACCTTTTGCAGGTGCACAATGCTTTCAGAAAGCCTATGGCCAGGGCCACAGGCACAGCTATGACCTCCATGTACCACCGATATCACCCGGCTGGCTTTGCGCCCACTGGGCTAACAAAACTCGATGGCTGTCCCTGTCAGGCTGCTGGTCAGCACAGGCATCACTGCAGCAAACTGCTTGAAATGCTCTACTGAAGAGAAAGAGAAAGGATTTCCACAAAAGCCTTTTATTTTACAAAGCAGAGGTGGCTTGGGTTTCTGTCAAATTTCTCTAGTTGTTGACGGCCAGCAGAGATGAAATCCTCTAGAACGACAGCGAAATATTCAAGGTGAGGGATGGGAGACAAAGGAAGAACAGGGCTGCCTCTTAATACGACAGCACGCTCTGATTTCCACACAGATGACGGAGGCCTCGATCCTCCAGCCAGGTGAATTTAGGTACCAACGCCTGCGCACACCAAGCCACTGGTTTGCAGGGCTTAGCCAGTGCCTGCTCCTCAGGTAGAGAGCTCTGCCTAGAGAATGCTCTTGACAAAAGGATCATCGTACAATCATAGAATAGTTGTGGCTGGAAAAGACCTTTAAGATCATCAAGTCCAACCGTTATCTAACTCTACCAGGCCCACTTCTAAACCATGTCCCTGAGCACCATATCTAGATGGCTTTTAAATACATCCAAGGATGGCGATTCAACCACTTCCCTGTGCCAGTCTTTGATAACCTTTTCAGTGTAGAAGTTTTTCCTAATGTCTAACCTAAACCTCTCCTGGCACAACTTGAGGCCATTTCCTCTTGTCCTGTCAGTTGTAACTTGTGAGAAGAGACCAAGGCCCACCTCTCTACAACCTCCTTTCAGCTAGTTGTAGAGAGCAGTAAGGTCTCCCCTCAGTCTCCTTTTCTTCAGACTAAACCCCAGTTCCCTCAGCTGCTCCTCATAAGACTTATTCTCAAGCCCCTTCCCCAGCTTCGTCGCCCTTCTCTGGAGCCTCTCCAGCACCTCAATGTCTTTCTTATATTGAACAATCAATTCAGTTTCTAACAATCAACAAAAAGGAAGGGGTGGTGAATCTACTGCTGGGACCCCAGGGGTCTGAGCAGCCAGAAAAGGCAGGTCGGGTCTCCTTCATTTGGAGCTTTACTGCCTGGGTGTGACATCTTGATGCTGGAGGATGGCTGAGCCCCTGACCAACCAGGGCACCGCCAGTCCCTGCTGACCTGTTGGTCCTGGCAGGGCACAGATATATGCTATTTATTTTGGCTGCACAATAACAGGTGGTTCGCCGGCAAAGGAAATTTATGAGGCAAAAAAACCTTGCTCCAGAAAACCACAAGGGAGATGATATGCATGAGAAGTTTTAAACAGGTATTTCCAAACCCACAGGAGTTTTTACACATTCACTTTTTGTCTTTGGTGTAGCTCATTTTTCTAAATTTTCTGTGATGTAGCCAAAAGTGCAACAAAAATACAATTATTCATATTAAGAATTATATTTGTTAATTATGGAAACTTATTCTTAGCCAAACGCTCACGGAGATGGCTGAAAATATTTTCACAGTATTTTCTTGACAGAAGGCATAGCAGGAAACTCCATGTGATAAATGACTTCTTTGAATTTTACCATTAGAAAACTTTATTATTTAAAGATGTTTTCAAGAGATCAGCATGAAACTATGAGTTCCACATCACTCCCTTCCAAGGCCAAAGCTAGTTCTGCACATATCTCAGCACGGTTTATAGTATCTGGAGTCAAACCAAATCTCCAGTTGGAAACCTTTCATAAAAGACAAATTTCTGAATATTTGTATTAAATATGCTTTCCAGAGCCGACTGACAATTCACAAGAACTCTCATTCTCAGAAGGAGAATTTTTACATTCAGCTATAGTTCAGCCATGTTAATTCAAAGAACAAAAAAAGCCATTACTTCTCTTAAGTATCACTTTTGCACTCAGAGGTTTACAGTGAGGGACAGATTCTCAGCTACTGTAAACCGGCATGACTCCACTGAAACTACTTTGTCCCTGTACTAAAAGAACTGGCCGTTTGCAAAAACAGCAATCAGGGGCATGGCCAGCAGGACAAGCAGGTTTATGTAGCAACATGGAATAGGCAGGCGACTACAGCAGGAGGAAGCCTGGCCAACATTTTTCTAAATAGTCCCAGGAAGGTTAAGTTCACACACACACAGAAACACAGAAACCAGCCTGCAACAGAGCTGTAGAGGTACTGGTGCGTGCTGAGTTTCACGGACCACCTATCAAAGGACTTAAGGCTTTGGACAAATAAATTCTTTTTCTTTTATTATTTTAATTCACACAAGTTTTTTCAGACGCTGCTCATGCTTCTACATTGGGCGTATGACAGGAAGAGCTCTGACTCTAAGGGAAGGTGAAGGGGGGATCACCCTCCTACAGGGGCTCCTTCTGCCCCTCTGTGACAGCCCCAAGACTGCTCTGTAGTGTTGGGGGAAAGCTGCCACCTTGAGACAAAGAAGTGAGAAGAAGCTGTTGGAACTGGTGTCCTGTCCTCAAACCAGGACAGTGGTTAAAGCCGCTCAGCAGTGACTGAGACTCCTTCTGTGCTGCCAGGGTGCTGGGACCTCACTGGAGCAGGGGTGACTCTCACCTCACTTGAGCTTTACAGACCTCACTAAAACCTTTCTGGGTCATCCTGTTGGAGTGCCATGGCAGCATCATGTTGTGGAGATTGGACAGAACAATGCCATACGAAACCTATACATAACAGTATAGGTTATTCCTTATCAAGATAATACTAACCAGATGAGACTATTTTTTGTGTGTTGGAAAGCAGAAAAAATGGCCATTGTCTTGTAAAGGCCTTTGTGGCTGCCTCCTTCTGTGCCCCTTTTTGTGCTCAGCCCTGGTGGCTACATTACAAGCAAGAAGTTGCCACATGTAACGTAGCTATTTTCCACTGCAAATAGATGTTTTCTCCATCCATAGGTTTTTTTCCTTTACTTATTCTTTAAAGACATGTCCTGCTTTCAGCTGGGATAGAGTTAATTTTCTTCCTAGTAACTGCTGTGTTTTGAATTTAGTAGGAGAATAATGCTGATAACACAGATTGGTTGAGTTGTTGCGAAGTAATGTTTATATTAAGTCAAGGACTTTTTCAGCTTCCCACAGAAGCTGGGAGGGAGCATAGACAGGACAGGCTGGCCAAAGGAATATTCCATATCGCAGATGTCATGCTCGGTATGTAAATGGGGATTGGCTGGGGGGCAGGGATCCGCGATCGCTGCTTGGGATGGAATGGGCAACCCATAATCTGGTGGTGAGAGCAATTGCATTGCACCACTTTATTTTGTATATTATTTTACCTTTAGTATTATTATCATCCTCTTCAATTACTGTTCTATTAAATGGTCTTTATCTCAACTCGCAAGTTTTTTTTCTGTCCTTTTCTCCATCTTCTCCCTGCCCTGCTGGGGGATGGGGAGGGAGTGAGTGAACAGCTGCGTGGTCCTAGTTGCCATCTGGGGTTAAACCACAACAAACATTATGTATTTTTTATGCATTTGTGCATTTGCCCCCACCAGCCACTCACGGAGACAGGCACACGGTAGCTTGTTCTTTTAGACCTCCATTGCATTATACACTCATATATGTGCACACACACACACAGAGAGGCATGCACACATTTTTAATACAAAATGCTACAGATTTTCTTTGCAGAGCCTCAAAGGTTGAAAAACATGAGTGTCTCCACCATACAGGGTATACAAGGACAAGTTCCCTGTCCCATTCAGGAAAGGAAATTGGAAGACAAGAACAGCTAATGCTGGAACGGAACACACCCCAGCAGTTCAGCTGTACGGATGCTCTCAAGCCCTCTTTCCTTTGTTTTTTTATTGCATTGTCCTGCGCTGAGCTCTCTCCCCAGGCACTGTTGACCAACCTGCATTAGGAGACGCCGTGGTACATGACTCCCAGGCCCATGTGAACCATAGAACCATAGACCAAAGGGCTGAGACCCATTGAAAGCCCTGAGCCTTGTGTCTCTGAGGAGGCAGAGGCTCCTGAGATCCCCGAGACAACTCTGCGCTGCCCCTTCACAGAATCACAGAATGGTCAGGGTTGGAAGGGACCTCTGGAGATCATCTAGTCCAACCCCCCTGCCAGAGCAGGGTCACCTACAACAGGTTGCACAGGACAGCGTCCAGGCGGGTTTTGAATGTCTCCAGAGGGGGAGACTCCACCACCTCTCTGGGCGCCTGTTCCAGTGCTCCACTACCCTCAAAGTAAAGAAGTTCCTTCTCATGTTAAGACGGAACTTCCTATTTCAAGTTTATGCCCATTACCCCTCGTCCTATCACTGGGCACCACTGAAAAAAGACTGCTCCCATCCCCCTGGCATCCTCCCGTTAAGTATTTGTAAGTATTAATAAGATCCCCCCTCAATCTTCTTTTCTCTAGACTAAAGAGACCCAAGTCCCTCAGCCTTTCTCCATATGAGAGATGTTCCAATCCCCTAATCATCTTTGTTGCCCTTTGCCGGACCCTCTCCAGCAGTTCCCTGTCCTTCTTGAACTGGGGAGCCCAGAACTGGATGCAGATCCCTTCCTTCCACATGGTCCCACTTGCTGCCCTACACTGGAGGATGTAAGGTAGGCCAGCGAAGACCTCAGGTTCCCCCTTCCTTCCTCTCTAACAGGTCAAATGCCACAGACAGCAAACAGACTGTGTTTCAGACTATTTTCCATCCTCACCATATGAAGGATGAGCCACGTATGCTGTGTGCCAGGCTGGTGTGAATTTGTTTTTGATAAATAAGCACTAGAAGGTGGTGATTACTAGCGCTTTAGAAGTAGGGGCAG